GCGGCGGCGGCGGCGGCGGGGTTGCTGCTCCTCCCAGCATCCTTGGCGCGGCCATTTCAGCCCCATCTTGGCTGAGGAGAGGGAGCTGCAGCCGCCGCTTGAGCAGTTTGAATTTCAGTTTCTCCAAGGTCTGCGAACCGAGCGCACCGGGGAGAAGCCGAAGAAGACACCGCCGCTCCCTCACACAGCCCGAGCGCCTCCGCTCGCTGGCCAGCGCTCCTGCCGCCGCCTCCCCTCACTCCAGAGCCGCGAGGGGAGGCCGAGACCGCCGCCGCCCGCCCGCGGGGGTGGCTCCCCCTCTGAGGGGAGGACTGAGCCGGCTTTCCCCTCCCCCGGAGCAGCCTTCCGCCCGGGACGGTCGACATGTCCCCGCGGCTGAGCTCCGGCTAGAGCCGGGGAGGGAGGGCCGCCCGCCCGCTTGCCGACCGGGCTGAGTCAGGAACCCCGGCTCCGGCCTCGCACTCCTCCCCCTTTTTTCCTCAGCGTCGGAGAGCGGAGCTGACGCCGGCCCCGGCCTGAGGAGCAGAGCGGCCAGCGCCGCCCCTCACGCCGCCGCCTCCCCTCGCCCTCCCACTCCCACCCGGCCGAGGCCTGCTGACCGCGGCGGCCGGAGCCGGGAGGAAGCAGGCGGCCCGCCCCTGCGCTCGCGCGCTCGCCGCCGCCGAGGGCACTGACTGAATCGAGGCGCCGCGGCTGCGGGCGGCGCAGAGGAAGGAGGAGCCGCCGCGGAGGCAGGCACTGCGGAGGGAGCGGGAGGAGGATGCGTCCCCGAGCGGCCGGAGACAGACCGTGACAGTCGGAGCTGCAGCCTCAGAGCCCCGCGCGGACGCGGACTTTGTCTCCGGGGCCGGCGCTCGGCCCTTCCCGGTTTCCGGCGGGCGCCCTCGCTGCCCGGCAGCCGCCCTCACCATGTCCAAGATGCCGGCCAAGAAAAAAAGCTGCTTCCAGATCACCAGTGTCACCACGGCCCAGGTGGCCACCAGCATCACCGAGGACACCGAGAGCCTAGACGACCCGGACGAGTCACGCACCGAAGACGTCTCCTCCGAGATTTTCGACGTTTCCCGGGCCACGGATTACGGCCCCGAGGAGGTCTGCGAGCGCAGCTCCTCCGAAGAGACGCTCAACAACGTGGGGGACGCGGAGACGCCCGGGGCCGTCTCCCC